CACTACCACGCAAAATCGTCTTAATAGTTTGGCCATTTTGGCGATTGATCATGAAATTACTGATCAAGTAAACTTAAAAGAATTAATAAAAAAGTTTGCAGAACCAAAAGTGAGAAAAAAGTTTATTGTGATTTCAGTGTTTTTTTTAAACTATTTCCGCCCTGTGGGCACTAACAGAGCCTCTTAAAGCAAGCCCATTATGGGTTTGGCCATGCCCACGATGTGGACGACCGGTAAGAACGCACCATTCCCCAAAATATTCATGAGGATTATTTGACCATGGTTTTGATCCAAAGTCGCCAAGAAGCGTTATGCTTCCACCTTAACCGCTCAGCCATCCAGACTGTGATTTTAGACTAGTAGTTGATGTTAGTTCTGTTAGTTTTATAGGATATACGTTTTGTTTGTGCAATAATACATTTTTGTAATAGCATTAAAAATGCATCTGGTTAACGATCTGTAACTAAGTACAGGTACTGTACATTTTAATTTTTACTGTTTTGTACTACTCGACTCTTAATTCTATATTACATGTTTCTTTTGTGAGATCTGCCAGGACGTAGATCTTAGTCTACGACACTTACGGCGCGCGATCGTGTGATCGGCTCTCTAAACTTTTTATAGGAGGGCGATAATCGCTATATGATCCGAACGGCGACGTTCAGATGTTCGTCAGGTGCCCGACACCAGTTTGTCAATTAAGTTCTGCGGACAAACACGCGTTTGCGATCTGATTCGGAATCAATTCAAGAGACATTTAAGTAAATTTAACAAGAGTAGATTTAATAATTCAAAAACAAAACGAATACAAATAATCGATGAACGACAATTAAGCAACAAGATATAGGCAAAAACTTATTCTATGCTGATGCGCGTTCGAGAGAGAGAGCTCACAAAATCATTCTAAAACATACGACCTGTTTAGTTGTCGTCGTTCGTCTTCATCTGTATTGGCAGAGGAAACCTTGTAGAGAAAGTTCCTTTTCTTAAAGTTCCTTTTCTTCTTAACATGGGAGAACGATTTGTGCACAAATAATAAAGTGTCTTTACTAGGTTCAGACTCGGGACTTAGTCTACGGGACTCGTTTATGGGCGTTGGTCATCAGGAGGAAAACTGTGTGGAGTTTGACGCTCAGGATCTGTCGAAGAACTCCCTGAATTCTGACTAATTTTTCCCTTATATCTCCTGAATTTCGACCAATCATCGGCCAGAACTCTTTCATGAGAAGGGACGAAAGGGGGATGAATGAGGGGTAACCATTTCCCATCTGAGTGAGATTTTTAACCAGATAAGGGAAAGTCAGAGGATGTTCTCTTCTGTGAAAGGAAGTAGCATCTGTTATCTGGTTTTTTCCCACGTCCAAAACACTAGTTTTCACAAAAAATGAAGTAATATTTTGTGTCGATAATTTAATATTATCAATAAAAATTATTAAATGTGACCCAGGGCCTTTCGGGTCTCACAGTATATAGGCATTTTCTTTTAAAATAATGCTGTCTTGTTGACATTGTAAACGTGTTTAGATTTATATTCATTACTATTGATGAGCTTCAGCTGTGCAGAGATAGCATCAGAAGTGTCAAACTCAAACTACTTAAGTGTCAATTTTTTGTCTGGAGTATGACAGCGGGCCAGGTGTTTTTAGCTTTTGTAGCCAAAAATTTTTTTTAAAGTATCCCAAAAGTAGCTGACTCAAAAAATTCGTTTTTAATAACCCAAGATTTGAAAATAAATTTAAAAAAAAAACCATTTGTACTTTTCCAGCAATAACTTTAATCACAGAACAAACATTTTTGGCCAATTTACAGCCCTGAAGCAGGTCTGTAAACTGATTCAAAAATAAGGATTGCAAAACTCAAAGTACAAGAATAAACTGTAATTTACTAATATTTTGAAAACACACATTTTATATGCAAAATAGTGTGAATTATGTAATAAATGATGTTGTGAAGACAGACTTTAATTTGAAATTCAAAAGATGAGATATCATAATGTAAACAAGAAATTAAACATATTTATTTTATTTGATATATTTTTAACTCTAAGTAATATGAATAAATAAAAATAGAAACAATAATAATAATAATTGAGTTCAACTATTTGATTTATTAGTTTATTATTTGTTTAAGTACAAAATATCACATTTTCTTTGGTATCAATATAATAAAATATAAACAAATAGCATTATTGAATTCATGTCGCGGGCCACAAGTAATTGTCTCTTTGACATGCCTGCTCTAAAGCAAAGTTTTCATAATTTTTATTTCATAATGTAAGTACAGTTCATTTCAAAATTATAAACACACCCAACTTTTTTCAATAACAAAAACATTAACAATAATAATGTATTTATTACATTAAATTGAAGTTATAAACAACATACTAAACATTTTCTGAAATTTTTAGAGCTATCTATCTGGCAATTACAAAAAAATTATCACAGATTTTCAGTTTTTAATTGTTTCAAAAGTATAAAAAAACAGGTGCATAAAATTAGTATGATAATTTTTTTTATTAATTATTGGTTTAATTAGTTGTTATCAGAGGGTAGTATCGTTCGTTATTACAAACATGGCACCAATTTTAAACAGTTTTTTTGTGATTTAAAACAACGCCTTGTGAAAAACACTAACAGAGTTAAAAATACATGAAATTTACGAACTAAAAGGAGCAGGACAATCTCTAAGACAAATTTCAGCAGCTGTAAATCGACCTACATGTGCTGTGAGAAATGTGTTAACTCAGGATGAAAATTATGGCAGAAATAAGCTATGTGGAAGGCCTACACTCCTTACACTTAGAAATGAAAGAAAGGTTTTTTTGACAACTGACAGTCAACAAGTTGTCAGAGAATCAGCATAGAAGGTAGAATGAATTCAGAAAAGTATCAAGAAATGTTGTATCAAAATTTAATAACTTTTGGATCACTTATTGGGTGAGAAAACTGGCAATTTCAACAGGATAAATTCTGCCATTCGTGCATCAAAGTCAACTAAAAATTGATTTGCTGAAAAAAAAATTAATGTGATTGATTGGCCATGATGGAGCCCTGATATGAATCTGATAGAGAATGTTTGGGGCATTATGAGTCTTCTTGTTTATAGTCAAAACAGACAATACAATACTGTAAATGCACTGAAATTAGCTATGATGGATTGTTGGAAAAATATTAAACAAGAATAACTTCAAAAACTAATAAAATGTATGCCTGACAGAGTATTTGAATTAATTAAATCAAATGGTGGACCTACAAAATATTGAAACATCAAAAATCATTTTTTATGCACCTGTGTTTATACTTTTGAAACAAAAATTGAAAATCTGTGATAATTTTTTTTTTTTTTTTTTTGATTGTCAGATAGCTCTAAAAATTTCAGAAAATGTTTAAATTGATATTGTAAACAACATACTGATGTAATAAATACATTACTATTGTTAATGTTTTTGTTATTGAAAAAAGTTGGGTGTGTTTATAATTTTGAAATGGACTTTATCTTTTGAAGTTCTGGAACCATTTTGCTGATAATAAAAATAGTATCTATAATTCTGCTGATTGAGGAAGTCTGTTGCTTACATCTGTTGTAAAGAATCAGAAAATCATACTAAAATCTACAGGCAGGTTTTCTTATATTGATCCATCCAATCCAGAATGAAAAATGCATCTCCATTTTTAACATTATGTTATCAGNTTTTAATTGTTTTTTTTTTTAATAAAATAAATAATATTTGCGTATGGAACTAAAGAGCCGCCGTTTCACATCCAAAGAGCCGCATGTGGCCGACCCCTGCTGTAACATATTCCTATGCTTTCATTATCTCCAGATCCCCCACGGATGTGTGTGTGTGTGTGTGTCTGTTTTTCGATTCCAAGAAAGGGCAAGTTTCCAGTTTATCTTCGTGATAGGTGGATATACAGGTAATTTGTACAATGAACTACAATTGGGTGGAATGTTTATAAAACCGTTACGTAATGCTAATGCCCTTGGATAATAGTATGATTCGTTTTTGTTTATGAAATGTTGTATAGCGAACCAAATTGTTAATGCCACTGTTTTGTACATTATATTGATATATGTAATTAATAAAATCATATAGGATTCAGTTTTCCGTGCTTTATATTGAAGGGGTTGATAGAGTATATACGTTACACAATTATGAAGATGCGTATGTAAGCAGATTTGTGGAGCATTTGAGAAGAGTTGAAAAACAAAAATAACGTTATATAATTCATGAACGATGTCTAGTGCAAATGACAGAACGCAAGGCACCTTGTTCTATTATTATATACTAAGTACTATTATATCAATTCTGTCCCTATAATGTCCTATGCTATTAATATATTATTGAATATTCATTTTAGATCCAATATTCTTACCGGAATGAAGTTCTTACCAAGATAAGTTACTGAATACAGTATTTTTAGCGGTTACTTGGTATCCTATGTAGAATTACTGCCCATATTATTTTGTAAGCTATATTAAAGTATTACGGTTAATATCGCGATGAAAATGGTTGCTCAACCCAAAAATTATTGTATTGACTCTCATGGATATAGCAAACGCTTTCTTTCTTCCATCATATTAAGCGAGGCCCACAATGGAAGAGGTTGGCCTAATTCATTATTGGTAAGTTAAAAAGCCTCAAGATATTTTTAAACAATGCTCAACAGCATTAAGCAATTAACAATTGCTAATTGTAAAGTAAAATTAGCCTTTATCTATACTGTCTGCTTCACAAGCAGCAATACGTTCGGCTGTATGTGTGAAAAAATGTTTGTAAAAGCTTCATTAACGCATGTGCACAACTGGACATAGGGACATTATTTTCTTCGAGCCGCATCTCATTACTCATTAGTTTAATTTTAGTTTATATTTAAATCTGTATAATGACTTTAGAGAAATTCACCTGGGGACCTGAAAAGGGCTTAAAACTGCTCCGTTTGAGTGATTTCTTTATTAAAAGTTTAAAAATGAAAATCAAAATCTAAATTAATACATTATTCTTTTATAATTTTAATTATTTATTTCTTTAATATCTTTGACAGGTTCCAGTGTGACTGTTGCATTGAAGTCCTTCTGCGCATTCTGATCGAGGTGGAACTCCAAGAAGAGGAAGCGGACAAGGTTCTCCTTCTCCTATAAACATAACAAACGTTATAAGAACAATTTTAAAACTTATTAAAAATGAATTTTAAAAACCTTTGATTTCAAAATTAATTGCAAATTATATTCACAAATGTTATTCTTTGTATCTAATCTAATTTTATTGAATTTGTTGCATTTACAAGGTAAATTATACTTAACATTGGAAATTCAACATATATATACATAATACAACTAGTGATAGTCACAAAATTAGTTACGATAAATTCATTTTATCTAATTATTAGTACTAATATTGATATTTATAAAATTCTGCCAGTAGGCAATGCTATTATTATACTTATCAGATTCTAGATCCCTGCAAGATAGAATCGAAGAATATACATTTTTCCTCTTGAAAATATATATATACCATATATGTATAGAATTTTTAATTATATTCAGAAATATTTATGAAAACCCATGAAACATTATACCATTCTCAAAGAGTATTATTCTTTTTGGAGCGTTTGTACCTTCAGCAACGAACAAAAGATCCAATTTATGAGAAATTGAACAGGAACTATTTGTAGACAAACAATACAATAAAACGAAATGCTTTTCACAGAAACGTTTCGATTCATTTTATTATATATGATTTATTCAAAAAATTATGCTTCAAGTGTTTGTACTTATTCAATCAGAATCTACTGCGGACTAACATATTTTCAACTATATCTGCTCGAATAGAAGGAACATAAAGCAGCATTTTTAACAATAAAAAAGCAAAATCGGAGACCAAATTGAACGAAAACTAAATCACTTTTATGTATTTCGGTTGAATAAAGTTCTGAAATTGAATAAAATAACTTCATGAAATATAGATTTTTAAAAAGAATATTTTGTAAAAATTAAGGTATTATTTCGATAATAGCGTATCAAAAACGTAATACGAGTATAATGTGAGGTGATAATTCTCTAATTCTACACAATATTTTCACTTCAGATTAAAAATGAAATTAAATTGTATCTATCTTACATTAATTAATAATTATATGTTTCAAGAAAATGTACCGAAAAATAAACATAAAAAAACTTACTTAGTTGAACAACACATAAATCACAGCATCCACAAAATCCACCTTTCTCTTTTACCACACCATTTCTACCTTCACAGCCTTCCAAGTCTTCACACACTATCTTAGAACATGTTTCGGGACGACAAACCAATGCCTGAGATGTCACAATCACAGCGCAAAACAAAATTCCAACCAACATGAAATTCTGAATTAAGAAAGTTTATGTTAAAAATGACGAATAACTTATAACAATGTAACTATTTCGTGAGAATTTTATTATAAATTACATTTTAATCAATCAGTAATTTTAATTTAAATCAAAGATACACAATACCCTCCACTTGTTTTCGGTAAAAACATTTTTATGATAATAAGTTAATTAAATAATTCAAATTTAAATTAATTAAATATAAGTTTAGTGTTATTTTAATAAATAATGCTTCCATTAACTTCAGTATTAATTATTCAAACAATTTTATCATATTTTAAAATGTATTTAAATTATGAATTTCTTACCATTTTGAACGAAATACTTGGCTTTATAAAATCAAATGTGTTTTTCTAACTATTTTCTTTTCTTTTATATTGAAGATGGCGCAAGACAATCTTGTTATCTAAAAAAGTAATTAGTATGAAGATAAATATAGAAAATTTCTGTTATCTTTAATAATTTTTTTTATTTTAACAGCTTTTCTCATTCCCAGTTCTGAAGGGCATGTAACATTATCGTTATATAGTATTGTATTGTATTATATGCTATATAACTTACTATATATATATTTACATATAACAATGTATCTCATTGTACACGAAAATGAATGTTATTGCAATTAATTAAACTGTGAAAAATCACCCTTCTACCTTCTTCCAGTGCTATTCCGACCTTCATAATTTAATAAGGAAATCAGTGTCTGGGCTTTGTTACCTATTCCTGTTCGATTTTATTGAGAATCTAGCCTATCCGTAATGGATACAAATTAATTCAAATACATTCTAATTTGTGCTGTAGCCACGTAATAAATTAATTGACATCTCATAAAGCAAATATTGTCTAACATTTTTTAAGAAAAATCTTATTTAATCATAGAAAAGTTTCTTGGGTTACGATTTAAAATCATCCATATATAATTTATTTTATTCCCTTTGTGTGCCAGACTGTTCGAAAGAAGAATTTGTTCACTATTAAAGTTGCGAATAAGGTTTAATGCGTATATATGGAAAATGTTGACCCTAAATATACTTTTCAGAGTACGTGTCAAAATACTTATAGTGAAAAAACACTGGTGCATCTAAACTTTAGAGTTAAAAAATTATTAGTAAATTTATACTGGTTAGAAAAGCGGGTAAAATAAGAAATAAACTGAATAAAGAACTAGATAGAAATTTAAGAATATAAGTTTTATACTGAATATAATTGAATATAAAACTAAATTAAATAACCAAATAAATAAAAATATACAAAAGAACCAAAGTTACTGAAGCCATATTTGCCAATTTTATGTATTTCATTCTTTTATTGGTTTTTTACAATATTTTTGAAACTTTTTATTACTGAACTTTTTGAAACTTTTGAAGATCTCGTTATCAAGTTTAAATAAAAATATTTACAATAAAAATAAACAAATAAATAAATATAATCACATGTTTTGTTGCTTGCCACGAAAATATATATTATGTGAACATTTTTATATATCGTTAAGTACAGTAGATCCTCGTTTTACGACTGACTTCAATTTTCTATTAATTAAAGTATGGCAGGTATAGTACTTCAATGTTTAAAGTATTAAATGTTTGTCGACCACTTTTGCTACGATATTGTATAGTTTAAAGAATGTTACGAAAATAAACAAGAAAACATCAACAATATTCTGCCAAACTTACAAAAAAATCGTGGAATTTTAAACCTCAATTTATGACACTGAACTAAATTACCGAGTTGATAGTAAGCAATTTATGATACTACAGTTCGATGTACAATGGATCAATTGACGATAGTTTATCAAGAACAATTATATTATAAAAGTGGGATTTACTGTATGTTAGAAATTTTTTTTTAATTCAACGATTTTTTTTGTAAGTTTGACAGAATATTGTTGATGTTTTCTTGTTAAAAAATTACTACAACTATCATAACTATAGTTACTGATGCAATGCAGGTGATGCGGAAGCGCGAAAACTGTTAGAATTTAAATTCAAGCATCTCGCGCCTTATAGCATTCCCAGTCTGGAAGTGTGCTTCAGAAATAGAAGATATCTATAGCCCTATCACCATAGGATCTTCTTCATCTAACAACTAATATTCCACCATCTCCTTTAATTTTTTAAGGTTTTATAATAAAATTTTATTGCATACTTTTTTGGTGGATGTTATGATATTTGAAAGATTACTATGGGTACACTTTAAGATACAATATGCAACCTTACGTACTGTATAACCTTGCATATAGCCTTTTTTTAATTTACAGAATTTATTTTAAATTTCCACTTGCAATTTTGTTTTTTCGGAACATAACCTTATCGTAAGGCGAGACTGTATTTTCGAACAGTCCGTCTCGTCATATTATTTACATTTGTACAACAGAAATACAATGCATTCTAATGAATAAAAGATAACATATAAAGTATTATTATTTAATAAAAAATTTAAACAAAAAGAAAATATAAAGGCATAGGCAATACTTTATGCACTGCTGTATATTTTGTTAATAAAATAAAATTTAAACAAACTATGTATAATACCGTAGTATTATACATAGTATATTATTATATATAGTATATATCGTATGCATTTTTAATTCTTATATAATATTGAGTGTAACAAGTTTTTATTTTTTGTCTGAAATTACACTATATCTAATATTTGATAATTTATTTAAACGTACTAATATTATCCTAGCAATTAGATAATTATGTGAAGCATACATCTGAGAAAAGATAAATTACATAATATAAAATTGAAATACTAAATTAAACTAAATGAAATTTTAGAAACTAAATTTTTTGACTTAAGGTGTTCATTTTCATGCAATTTTTCTACTTACATGTTACTTTTTTGTCTACTTAATTGTTTTTCCTCCGACAAGAGCCTGTTAGAATGAATTGGTATTGATAAAGAAGTAAATATCTTTATATTTATTTATTGTAAAATTAGTTATGACATTGTAATAAAATGAGAAGATTAATGATGAACGACATACAAATACATGCACTATACAAATGTACGACACATTACTGTAAACAATAATGGCTGCACAGTCGAACTATTAAAAAAAACTAATTACAAAACTGGTAGAGAATATGATTATCAGACAATTTCTACACATGTAAAACATATTTATACATATAAATTGTTATATATTTCAAACTTGGAGTAGCTTTTAAAAAGGTGGAAACCTTAAACGATCATTTCTTTTTTCAAGATCGTTTTTACATTATTAGTACTTTTCAAATATTCTTGGCTCAATTCAAGCTCTGGATGATACGTTTGGGACCTTAACAGAGCTGTAGAGCATACTGTAAGACTAATAATAATAATAAAGTGTACTGTGCAAAAAAATATAAATTATACAAAGCATTGGTTACAAAATTATTTTTCAGGTCTCCCTAAATAAAAAGGGAGAAAAATATCACAATATAGTAAAAACATCATGATACAACACAAATGGCGTAAATCATGATCATCATGATCATGATTTACGCCATTTGTCATCAAATGACATCATGATCAAATGGCGTAAATCTAATTGAACAAAGTACTCAAATCACATGTTTTATAACGCCAAAAATCTTCAATTGTACTAAATTCCTTTTTCAGTCTATTCCACTTGTAAATTGATGAATTAAAATGTAAATTATGAATTGGTCCGAGATCAATTCAGTTTACATTTTAATGAACGAAGATTATCGTGGAAATCGTATTTACCTATTGCGTATTTTGTTTGTTCGGGGAAAGTTGCAAATAAACTTTTGTTACTCTTCCACCTGGTGTTAAATTCAAAAATAGTTAAATTAAAGTATACAGTGAGATCGATGAGCTTTGAGACAAGATTCATAAAAGATAAAAAAATTTATCAGAATAATATTTAATGTTTTTAAATTTAGAATTTAGAATAATGGAGTATTTTTACTCCATTACAGTTGCTACACTGTTGAGCTCTCTTTTTCAATTGAAAACTTCTGTTTAGTAATAGTCGTTAGTTGATTAGTTACAACGATTTCAATTTTGAAAATGTCTTCGAATCTTTGACCTTTCAATTGCAATTTTAATTTTGAAAATAAAAAAATTGTCTGCGAGAAAAATTCATGTGAATATAATGAGTGATGTGATATTATGACTTGTTTTTGAGCCAAAAACGGCTGTAAAATTGTTGCACTTGCATCATTGCATGAGGAACGAAATAAGCACAAAATTTTCACTTCTTTGAGGCTAATTGTAACCAGTGCCGTAACTAGGACGGTTCCAGCGGTGCCCAGGCACAGGGCGCAGAAATGACCTGGACCAAATTTTGGGTTATAGTTTTCGGGCGTAGTTACAGAAGCTCGCACCGGACACATAAAAGGCTAGTTACGGTGCTGTTCACACCCCTGTCTTAGGCTATTACGCGATGTCCAGCAGATGACGTTAAAAATTTAATGCTTTTTCTTTGGGAAAATTCTTTTCCTACAATTCTCGAAAACGTCAACAGAACCAAACAATTTTTGTGTTAGAGTCCTATTTAATTCTTCTCTTGACTGCGGTTCAGAGTTTTTTAATATCGAATTCGTTAACTTTCTGAAAATTTTTAAAGTCTCAGAAAAATATTGTTGCCGGCCCATGTATTACAACAGCGGCGGCCTTAACCATTGCGAGGCTCCGGGCGACAGATCTTTGTGAGGCCCTTCTTCTTTGTGCAAAGTATATGAATTGAAAGTAGGTATTTCTGATGATTGGCAAGAAATGCAAAAGTTATAAATGAATAAATTTAGAGTTTTAAAGTATTATATTAGAAGATTTATAAAAGTTAACAAACATAAAGACGACAAATTATTATTTTTTTACTCTTTCCACTCTGTGGGCATTAAGAGGGAAAACCCTAATGGTCCTGCTATAAGAGTATAGCAGGCCCATTAGAGTTCAGCAAGGCACACAATCGGGCGACAGGGTGGTGAGGGACTATCCGGATTCGATCCTGGGTCCTCCAGAGCGGTAGGCTGCCATCTTGACCGCTCGGCCATCCGGTCTACGACGACAAATTATCAATGATGATAAACTAAGGTACATAAATGCCTTAAAAGATATACACGGAATTTAAAAATTAACCATTTCAACATACAATCTTTGCGCAGTCAGCTAGATTCGTGAGACTTTAGATAATCACCCAAGTGTTTCCAATCACACACACTCCTTCATTGGATCCAATTCTTGTGTTTTCTAGTCCGAACGTTCGACACGGAAAGCAGTAAACGGCATCCTTTGTGAATAAATCATCCAGCACTTGTCAAGTTTTTCACCATTAGCTAATATTTTACTGTAATGATATTCGCTGAATCGCCGTCCATTATCATTTACAGGGAAAAAATCAACTTTAACCCGGATTGGACTTTTTAATACAATCTCAGTTTGGTCTACATCAGT